CCCCAGAACTGTGACGCGCCCTCATATTTCTGGGACAGTAGTTTGTATCCGGGAGCCCCTGCCTCCCAGCATAGAGTCCTGGAATGGTAACCATGGCCCCACCTTTTCTGCCTGTCCCTGATTCAGTAGCTGTGTTGTTGAAAGGTCTGTTATGACTTTCAGTTGTCACCTGCACAACACCCTTCACCTCTCTGCATGACTGGCTGACAGCCTACCTCTGCTAGGTATTCCCAGGTCAGCCTGGGCTCTGCTGCTGGGTTCCAGCCTCTCCTCCACAGTCTGGGCCCGGGCAGCCTTTCCCCGGAGCTCTGAGTGACTCTGGTCCTCTTCTGCTCTCCCTTGTCCTCCACCCTTGTCTCATCTGAATTTTTTAACGTTTTAAATTAAATGTATCATTATCATCATTATTGTTATTCATTATTATTGAGACAAAGACTCACTATGTAACTGTGACTGGCCTGGAACTCACTAGATAGATCAGATTGGCTGCAAACACATAGAGATTCACCTGCCTCCAAGTGCTGAGATTAAAGGTGCATATCACCACACCCAGTTTAATTTTTTAGGTTAACATACAACTTGGCAGTTTCCTTCCTGCATCTCCATACATATGTGACATTCTATTTTAATCTTACCTATGATATTCCTTCTCTGAGACATTTTTCTCTCCCATCTCCATAGTAAATTGGTTTCTTTTTTGAGCTGGATTGGGGTGGAAAGGCGAATGGTATACTAAAAAGCAGCCAATAAGGAGAAAAGGCAAGAAGCCCTCAAATGTTTTAAGGGTTTTCTCACCAGAAAGTAAAATCCAGATAATACAGAATATGGGCGATGGCTATGAAGACTGAGCTCGCACATGCTGCTCCCACTGCCTGGGAGGTAGAGGAAGAAAAGGGAAGTAGGGAGAAGCATAGACACACATGCAGAGAGCAATGATTCCTGACTAACTGAATATAGAAAATGTGTCTAATCAAAAGCCATCTCAGGGTTGGGTTGGTGGCTCAGTGGTTAAGAGCATTGGCTCCTCTTGCAGAGGACCTGGGTTTGGTTCACAGCACCCACATGGTGGCTAACAACTGTCCATAACTCCAGTTCCAGAGATGCCCTTGTCTGGCCTCTGTGCACATTGCACAACATGGATGTACTTACATTCATGCAGGCAACACAGTCATACACATGAACTACAAATAAATGGAATTTAAAAAAAAAAAACAAACTCCAGTGTTTTAGTCTTTGGTGTTGAGAGGAGGTGGTCATTAGAAAAGATCGTGTGTCTTTCTAATGAGGAATTCCATCCAGAGACAATCTATCATTCAGTTGCCATTTTAGACATGTCAGGCAGAAATAAATACCCCGTGGGTCGCTGAAGAGGCCATATTTGGATGCATCCACAAAGAGAACTGATTTCACTTCCTGCCTTTGCCACTTGCTCTTTGGGAGACCTCTCTTCTCTGCAGCAGGGCCAATGTTAGTCCTTCTCTGGCAAGACTGATTGGAATAGTAAACCAACCCACCACTACAAGTGAAATACCTCACTGCTCCATGGGACAAATGTTCCATGACCTATGATGGGGCAAGGACTTGATAAACCCATCATAAATTGAAAATCTCATAAGTTGGAAATGCATTTAATATATTGTAGCTTAGCAACCTAGTGCTTCTCTGCTGGGCCACAGGAGAGGGAGGAATAGTGAGGTGATTGTTTACCCTATTGATGGTGGGGCTGCCGCAGGCTGCGGCTCACTGCATCTTACTAGTCCAGGAAAAGATTGAAGTTGGAAGTATGATTTCTTCTGAATGAAAATAATTTTCATAATTGTAAAGTAAAATCAAAACAAAAACTGTGTGTCAAGCATTGTAAACTGAGTCCATCTGTAGTAACCACTCGGCCACATTCTTGGTTCCTGTTGCAAAGAGAAGACTGGAAGATGAGTGAAGAAAGACTTGAGGGTGTGTAGCTCAGTTGGTAGAGTGCTTGCCTGGCATGCAGGAGGCCCTGGGTTCCCTCCCCAGCACTGCACAAAGCTGGCATGAAATTACAGGCGTGTACATCATGCCTGTAATCTCAGCACTCAGGAGCTACAGACAGGAGGATAAGAAGTTCAAGGTCATCCTCAGCTACATAGTGAGTTTGAGTTCAGCTTGGGTTACATGAGACTCAGGGGAGGCCGTGGGGATGGAGGGAAGGAACAGAGAGAAATAAGAACCAGGGTGGTAAGCTCCTTCCAGGGTCCGTGATACAGTGATATCTGGGACAGAAAGCCAGTGGTTGCAGCAGGGAGCCCTCTGATCCTGGGGAGTGACTGGTACTAAGAGGAAGAAGCAGCCTCTGGGGCAGCAGGGAGCCCTGTGAGACAGAAAGGAGGCAGTTGGACCAGAGGCAACATGGGTTTCCTTGAGCATCTGTACAAGGTAACACACTATGGCATCACGCTCCTTTCTCTTTTTCTTTGTAGATGTTAAATAACCTCTTACCATTGGCCTACGGTTTTGTTCAATCGTGCTTATCTTTTTTAAAGAGAAAATATCATTTTTGCCTTTCTTGAGTTAGTGGACATTGATGGGGGTTCAAAACTTAACCAGCCCACAAGCCTGCAGGTTGCTTACTTGGGACCTTGGCATTCTGCACAGAGAATCTTTGTGGGTAGCCAGAAACCTAGAGGAGGAAGGATGGGGAAAGAGTACCCTGGGCTGTATCTAGTTGGACTTAGACCACGGGCATTCCATGGGAGCCCAGTGAATCAGGCTGTGGCTAGTGCTTTTCCTCTCTGCTTGCTGCAGAGGAACAAGGAGTGGTGAGGTCCGTGGTAATTTTGCAGAATTGATGTTGTGTGCGGTTCTGGGAAAGCCAGATATATCATATGGACAGTTTCCCTCTGCTAGACTGCATGGGTGGCAAACCTTATAGAACCTCTTTCTACAGCTTGAGCCTGTGGCATGGTCTACTTTTCCTGTGGTGGCTTCCTCTTGGCTGAGTTTTGAAGGTTGCTTTCCCCTCAGAGGCTCTTAGACTTTGTTCTTAACAAGGCATCTGTGTCAGACAAAACAAAGCAACTTCATAAATGTTACCAGTGAAACTGAATATGGCTTCCACCTTGTTCTTTCCAGGGCTCTTGTCTCCCAGTGAACCTCTGCTTCTGTGTGCTCATGATAGCTTTGATAGCTGAGCAGCTGGTCTTTCTAGATAGCCATATTAAGGATTTTTCCTGCTTTGTCTAATACCCCAAGTGGTGAGTTTACAGGGTGGGGGCAGGGCTGAGTCTTCTGCTCCGTTCAGTGCTCACTGTACCAGCCTAGTACCTCTCAGAGGACATGAAGTGTTGATGGCAAGGGACAGTATTCTAATATCTTGTCTCTTATTTGCCATATGTATGTATCAGCTTTTTTTGCCCTGATGAGCATAGGTTATGATGAATGCCTTTCTTCTTATTTCTCCTGGAAAATTCAAATTATTTTAATTTTAATTAATGTATTTATTATGTGTATGAGTGTTTTGCCTGCATGTATGTAAGTGCACTGCATGCATGCAGTGCCAGAGGAGGCCAGAAGTGGGTGTTGAATCCCCTGGAACTGAAGTTATAAACAGTTGTTAGCCTCCATGTGGGTGCTGGGAACCAAACCTGAGTCCCTTGCAAAAGCAACCACTGCTCTTAAGTGTTGAGCCATTTCTCTGGCCCCCTCAAATTATTTTAGATTTACCTTGAAGGTCATCTCTTCAGCCCATCCCAGGATAATGCCACACGTCTCAACATGGCATTTTGTCTGTGTAGTTTTATTATTATTATTATTATTATTATTATTATTATTATTAGAAACAGAGTCTTGTTATATAGTCCAGAGTGGCCTGGAACTTATGATCCTCCTGCCTCAGCCTCCAATGTGCTGGGATTACAGCCATGGACCACCATGTTCAGCTTCATATGTGTTTATGAGTTCACTATTACTGATGCATTGAATCACATTTGGTGTCCTTCAGTGAACTTTGAGCTCCCAAGTGAAGACACTTCAGCCCCAGGAATGGGCCATAGCTAAACACACTCTGCAGCCCAGAGCTTTTAGAGGCCTCCTCTAATACAAAGCTGAGCACCCCCAATGGGTCTAGTTCAAGGCCTCGAATGCCATGGAGTCAGATGAGGCCCTGCATATTCTGTGATCATGAGCAAGATGGACTGCCCACATCCTGGTTAGTGACAGTCATCTCAGTGTGTCATATCTTATGAATGTGATGTGGCCATCAAGAAATGTATGGAAGAAAATGATTTCAGATGACTTCTAGGTGTGGCCATGTGCCCTGGTATAGTGCGAGGCATAGTCTCTTCACTTCTGGGGTCTGCTATATGATTTTCAAAACAAGTCCGAAAAGCTTCTTTCTTTTTTATTCCACTGACAAGTTGACAAAACAAATTTTAGGTATGAGAGACGGTCCTCCGTGCAGGGCTGAATCAGCGTTCTCTCCCAGGCTTTGCATGTGTGCTGCTTTCTGTGATTCTCATGGCAATGCAGTGAAGTGAGCCTCATTTCTCCCATCTTACAAATGAAAAAAGGGGAATAGAGATGTGGCTCAGTTGGTAGAGTGCTTACCTGTTTGAAGCCCTGGGTTCAAGTCCTAGCTCAATAACCGAGGCATGGTGGTGCATACCTGTAATCTCAACACCCAAGAAGTAGAGGCAGGAGGATTAGAAGCTCCAGATCATCCTTGGCTACATAGTGAGTTTGAGACCAGCCTGAGCTATGTGAGACCCAATCATAAACAAACAAACAAACAAACAAACAAACAAATGCTTCTGCATCAGACCTGGGTGACTTCCCCACGTACCTGTAGGTGGCAAGGCTGGAACTTGAGCCCAGGTTACAATGACAAAGGCTTCACCTGTGCCCTTTCTGCTGCATTTCATTTAGGGAGTAGTTGAGAAATTAGCAGTTTTTAAAATTTATTTATGATTTTTTTTAAGCAACCAAGAGAATATGAACTATTCTCATCTGTCGTGTTTTGTCCGCAGGGAAGCAAAGGAGCCTACCGGTACCACTGGCAGAGTCACAATGTCAAGCACAGTGGCGTGGATGACATGGTGCTGCTCTCGAAGATCACAGAGAGCTCAATCGTGGAGAACCTCAAGAAGAGATACATGGACGACTATATCTTTGTATCCTTTATCCGGTGCTTTGCACACCCCGGGATGTGACAGTTTTCACAGTAGAACCTAGCTCTCTGCCCTGTGTTCAGGCCTCCTGAAAGTCTGAGCTGATAAAACCGCTCTCAGTGTTTTCCCTTTCAGAACCAGGGAGCCGCACTTTTCTACTCGCTTGGTTTAGGTTGTACAAAGGGCAGAGATGGAGCTAAAGCACTTTCCTGGCATTTTGTGAGGTCAAGATACAGCTCTGTTACTGTAGCGCCTTTGAGCTACAGCAGCCCACATGTGGTGTCTAAGACCTCTGCTGTTTCCAGAGAAAGTCCTGGTCTGCAGACCTAGCTGAAGCATATCCTGGTGGCAGTAGAGATGCTTTGGTCCAGACTTCAAAGGTTTAAGATCGCCTCATGGAAAAGCAATTTCCCCAGACTTTCTGAATCTTTATATTTACTAAAGGAAACCGGAGAAGGGATGATCAGCTATTGAAAATACCTGGTATTCCCAAGTTGTTCTTCCTGTTTTAATTTTAGCTCTCCACATGCCATTTTATAATAATACAGGATGGGGCCGGTGAGATGGTGAAGGTGCTTGGTAAAGATGTTTGCCACCAAGCTGAACAACCTGGGTTTGTTTCTGGAAACCCCCACTGTGCAAGGAAAGAACTGACTCCATAAGTTGTCCTCTGACCTTTGCATATGCACAGTGGTACAGATGCACCCGTACACATACATGCACACATAAATAATAACTATAAACATCAGAAATTAAAGCAGGGTAAAAGTTTGATGGAACTGTGTGTTGACTTCATGGTAAATAAGGAACTGTGGTATCTGAGTGAATTCCTGCAAGATTCAGGAATTTTGTTTGGGACAGCTCTGTGAAGATGGTGCCACTAAACTGGCAGATCGGATTAGGAACACCTTTGTTTTTCTTTTTAGATTTATTATTTTTATTTATATGTATCTTGTGTGTCTGTCTGTGCACATACCATTTGGGTGAGATTTCTAAGCAAAAGATCAAATAGCAGTAGATAGCCAACATCAAATGGGTACTTACAAACATCCAGCAGAAACTGACTGGGGAATTTTAGGCAGTCAGAGTTCCTGATTGAGATTTTCTCTCCATTGATGATCTTCCCAAGACTGAACCTCTGGCTCCTGGCCCCCACTGCAGGCATTTTTTTATATCACGAGATAAACAGTACTATAAATAATAGTAACCTCCATTGGAAATAGTTTTCCTTCTAGCTGTCCTCAAGGGCGTGGTGTTTTTAACACTCTCTGTTGTTTACAGCCTCCTTCTCCCCACTACAGAGGCAGGAGACTAGCCTGACCCAGGCCTGGGAATTTTGGAGGACACTTGACATAAACATGCTTAGGTCTTGAAGTGGGGAGACAAGCAACTCTACTGCTAGACCCAGCTTCTCAGTGAGCTCAAACAGCACATGACAATTTACCAATATACTGTACACTACAATATTACATTATTGTTAACTTACAGTCACAACTTCTTGATCAGCAATAGCCTGAAGCTTGCAGACAAATCGCGCCCACCACCATTTCTGTACATGACACTTCCCTGGACACAAGTGTACTCCTTAGATGACTGATTATGCCACTTTTGTAGTAGAGTAGCCAAACTAAGTAGTTGAAACAGAGCATCTGACCCATGCTAAAGTAATTACTTTCTATTTACAGAGCCAACTTAGTGACCCTCACACCATATACCTGCTCAGTTTCCTTTAATTTTCCTTTAATATGAAAACATCTGTACATACTTTTACTTTTTTCATCTCAACTACTCAAACAAAGTAAAATTTGCTTATCTGGATTTATCACCATCAAAAAATTTTCATGTGTATGACAGACACCATGATATACTGAAACTGGCAGATAAGATTAGGATCACCTTTTTTTAGATTGAAAAAAAGTATTTGTATGCATGTCTGTCTGTGAGTGCATGCATCATGTGATTACAGTGCCTGCAGAGGCCAGAAGAGGGCATCAAATCCCCTAGAACTGGAGTTATAAGTGATTGTGAGCTGCCAATGTGGGTGCTAGGAGCTGAACTTTGGTCCTCTACAAGAGCAGCAAGTACTTTTAACCTCTGAGTCATCTCTCTAAGCCTGGCAGATAAGGTTGAGAGGAGCTGGATATGAGATGTAGCTCTAGAGGTGACTTGGCATGGATCTGGTGACCTTCATAAGCAGTGTGATCTGTGTCTCAGCATCCTTGTCTATAAAAAGGGAGCAATAACTAAATCTCCCAAATGAGGCTTTTGTTAGTGAAATGAAGTAATGAGCTCAATGTGTACACAGTAAGCATTAGTTATGCTATAACTCAGATTTGTACACAGCAAGTGTTAGTTATGTTGTAACTCAGATGTGTACACAGCAAGCGTTAGTTATGTTGTAACTCAGATGTGTATACAACAAGCATTGATTATGTTATAGCTCAGATGAGAGCAGAGACATGGTTCTTCTCATAGTTCTGAATTATTTTCCAAAAATTTAATTGTGTAGTTGCTTACTATAGATTCAAATAGATTCCACCATAGAAACTGTCTTAATATATAGAGAAAGGGTTTCATATTGCCAACATTGACCTCAAACTTACTGTATATCCAAGGATGCCCTTGAACTTCTGATCCTGCCTCCACCTGGGTTTATGTGTGTTCATCACACCTGCTTCATGCAGTGCTGGGGATTGAACCCAGGGTTTTGTGCATGCTAGGCAAGCACTCTACCAACTGATCTACATCCAAGCCCTAGCCACTGTTTTAAGTGGCAGATCAAAAGCTTTGGAATGGAGCCGGGCATGGTGGCGCATGCCTGTAGTCCCAGCACTTGGGAGGCAGAGGCGGTGGATCTCTGTGAGTTCAAGGCCAGCCTGGTCTACAAAGTGAGTTCCAGGACAGCTGGGCTACAGAGAGACCCTGCTTCAAAAAGACCAAGAAAAAAAAGCTTTCGAATGTAGGCTTGGTTTTTGCATTATTTACACAAAAATGTAGGGTTTTTTTTGTGTGTGTTATTGTTGTTTGCCTATTTGCTTGTTTGGCGTGCATGTCTGTTTTTCCTATGCAAACTTGTTCGTGATGGTGTATATACTCATGAGCATGCATATAGAGGCCAGAGGAGGACATTTGGTGTCTTCCTCTTCCACTCTTCACCTTATTTTTTGTTATTTATTAATTTTTATTTTTATGTGAATGAGTGTTTTGTCTGCATGTATGTAAGTTCATCTGTATGTGAAATACCTGCAGAGGCCAAAAGAGGGTGTCAAATCTCCTGATACTGGAGGTAGGGGTAGTTGTTAGCTGCCATTTGGGTGTACCTGGCCCTGCATGTATGTATATGTACCACATGTGTGCAGTGCCTGAAGAGGCCAAAAGAGGGTGTCAGATTCCCAGGAATACAATTACAGATGGTTGTGAGCTACCTGATGGCTGCTAGGACCTGAACCTGGGTTGTCTGCAAGAACAGTAAGTGTTTTTAACTGCTGCACTCTCTCTCTAGCCTCTGTATGTCATTTTTTAAGACAGAGTCTCTCACGGAATCTGGAGCTTATTGTTTTGGCTAGACTGGTTGGCCACGGAGCTCTCAGGATCCATCCATCTCCATTTCCCCAACACTAGGGTTACAGGCTTGTGCAACCATGCCTGGATTTTACATGTGTGCTGGGGATTTGAACTTGGGTCTTCTTGCTTTCACAGCAGTGATTCTTACCCACTGAGCCATCTCCCAGCCTCTTAGAAATTTTGTTTTTAATAAGCTGGATGAAAAATGATAATTAATGGCAGTCATTGCCCACAATCAGTCCATCTTCAACTCAGACAGCCTTACTCTGGGAGGACTGTTTACTTAGAAGACCCCAGAAGCTCTTTGCAAACAGACACCATGACTATATAGCAAGAACAAATTGCACAAGCCCTTTCAAGTCATACATGGTCATTTAACATGACTTATGAGATGCAAGTGACACAAATCACTGCAAATCACACCGGCTAGGGTTGAGTTCCCGTGATCTCTTAGCACATGGCTTTCTCTCCCACACACATACACATACACACATGCACTTTCTTGCTGTTTACTTTGAAGAAGAATACATCAGCCCTCATCATGTATTTTTTTTGCTGCCCTGTACAATTCTTGGCACTAAACGCATTGTATTGAGTGTTCGCTGGAAATCTGTTGACTGTCAAGACTTTTTAAATTCAGGCAGCAGGGTTTTTAAATGACTCACTTGGGGGGGGGAGGCAATGAAGCCCTTTGGGTCAATAACTGACTAATGTGCCTTCTCCCAAGGAAATGAGTTACTAACCACGAACGACTTTATGTTTAGACTTCTCTACCCTCTTGGTATATGGGAAGTTCTGAATTAATGTGCTTTCTAGTAGCAGCAGGGCGGGAGGGTCACTTTTGGCTTGAAGGAGGCCTGGTGGTGCTGACAAAAGCTTCTAAGATACGACTTAGTGTCTGCCTCCCCATCTTTTCCTCTGATAAGTGATCACAGCCTCCTGTAGCACTTCAGTCTCAGCATAATACATGGCATAGCATCCTGTTGGGTTTTCTTTGTTTCTTCTGTGTTTGTTAAGGCAAAAGAGACATTTATACATAATTGCTCTTTTTTCCTCTCTACCCTTCATACTAGCACACTGTTTTGTATCAAAGGTCAGCATTTAGAGCAATCGATTGCTAATGCATGTAGACTAAATGCACAACTCCTTCGTTCTCCATTAGGAAAAAGAAAATCCACTTAGAAAACACTGGCATTGTCTGACCAATAAAGCCCTGTGTTTTTGAGCTGTTTATCTTGAGGCAGGGAAAGCTGAGTTTACCGTCCCCTTGTCGAACTCACCAAGACAGTTGCCACATTCCTTACAATTACTTTCTAAAATATATGAAGGAAAAACTAATTAAGTTTAAAAAGGAGGAACACATTGCAGCACTCTCCACCACCCTTGGCCAGACATCAGTTCCAGCCTTTTGGCTGATGAAAGTAATTCCCATGCAGAGT